AACCCTAACCCTTTGTCCTCTAAGCCCTATCGCTAACCCTAACCCTAACCCTTTGTCCACTAAGCCCTATCGCTAACCCTAACCTTAACCCTTTGTCCTCAAAGCCCTCTCGCTGCGTTGCACTGATACAAGTGAAACCCAGTGTTCCCACAATTCCTAGAAAGGCTGGAGGCAAAAAATAACTCCTTTAATCCAGTTTTTGCTTTTTTACAGTATGTACGACATATACTGTAGGTGTTATATGTGTATTAAATTATATAAATGTGGTTTGGAAAGAGCAAATTTTCTAAAATTTATTTTTTTAATTTAGTATGGAGTTTGACAAGCCAACTATAGTATTTAATTGTATATAGGCTTTTTGCTTTTTGCTTTAGCCTTTCCAGTGGTTTCACAGCTAACATCACCTAGACCTTTTTTTCATATCGAGACAATGCTTGTCAGAACAATTTTTAATTCTCTTGCTTTTTCTACAGGTACAGTAACTGCAGTTACACTGGGACATCAGTTACAGTAAATAACCACAGCAAATAGGTTTACTAACGAACTAAAGACAATTAAAGAGCTGTGATGATGACAAAACGGCTAACAATTACCAGTGTATTTTTTCAGCTTCACAAAGAAAGTTTGATGTTACTGTACATCAGTTAGGCTGCTACAGTAGTTTCGTCACGTTCACTGTACGCACACCATGCATGCATAAACTGATGCATTTCTTTCTCCTGGTATGTGAGAGTTCCTAGAAATTAAAAACTCTGAAGCGCTACAGAAACTGTACAGCAGGTGCAAAACATTCCTGCAAGTGACCTTGCAATAACATTTACTGCAGTAGGGTAATGCACACCATTTTGGGGAAAAAAAGTATGTAAAAATTTTAGAAAATTGATGTAAATCATTTGTTTCATAAAATGTTTAGAGAGTCCTTTTTCCGTACCTGAAGAACACATATTTACATGAAGTAATGTTAGCCAGGCTTACATTAGCAGAATTCCAGAAAACCCTCCAAAATAAATTATTTTAGCAGAAGGATAAAATTCATGTTGACTTTTGCTATGCTGGCTCAGTAAACCTGCCTGTAACATCTGCAGGGGGTAGAACAAAATAGGAAAATACGTAGTTCAGGCTCAGGTAGAATAGGAGAGAGATGAATCAAGAGTAATAAACCTACTTAAATCAATTTGTTAAAGAAATGACCGTTCAATAAGCTCTTCAAAACAAAGCAGAACTGAAGACAAAACAGCAACTATATCACAGAAACTATATAATATGTACACAAAACGTTAGTTGTATCTTTGCTGAAACAGGTTTTTTCCAACATTTTTATGTACAGAAAAGAAGGCATTGCTGCAGTAACTGAAAGTCACTTTGAGATGCCAGCTTCCAACAAACTGTCCAAGACTTCACATACTGTATCAATATATTTAAAGTTAGTCTCTAAAACAGCTGATTTCATCATAATTGCAGTCATGCTTCAGTAACGCATGATTTCAGTTTTCATTGGAGTCATTTTGAGGATGGATATTTCACAGAAGTTTTGCAAACGCAATGCTTGGTTAGTCAGAAGTAGTCGATGGGTCAGTTGAAAGGGGTAAAGAAACACTCGACAGCCTCAAAGGTGGATTCTGTTACATGGTCCCATCCTTAGTTCCCATATATTCCGGTTAGAAATAAAAACGTTTCTAATCTAAATATCTCATAATAAAACAGCATGAAAGACTCAGACACAGGTGTCATTGCAAATATTACCTGTAAAGCGCTTTGTCCATTTCTTGGTCCTGTGGGATATAGTCCACTGTTTCCTTGGTCCAATGATTCTTCTTGCTACAGTATGTTCCTAAGCCAGCAGCTGTATCACCCTGCAGCTCACAGCTGCCAGCCCACTGAAGCCCAGCAGGTGTGAGCCTGGTCAGTACCTGGAGGGGAGACTCCTGGGAAAGCTAAGGCTGCTGCTGGAAGAGGTGTCAGTGGGGCCAGTAGGGGGCGCTCACCCTGCGGTCTGTGTGGATCCTAATGCCACAGTATAGTGACGGGGACACTAAGCTGTAAAAAAGGTGCCGTCCTTCAGATAAGACATGAAATAGAGGTTATTACAAATCCCAGGCCATTTCTTGAAAAGAGTAGGGTTGTTAACCTGGCGTCCTGAACAATATTTCCCCCTGGCCTTTATCAATCATGGCCTCCTAATAATCCCCATCTCTGAACTGGCTTCATCCCTCTGTTCTCCTCCCCACTGAGAGCTGGTGTGTTGGTAATGTACTGGCGCATCATCCAGGTGGGGCTGCACACTGGTGGTGGTGGAGGGGATCCCCATTACCTGTAAAGCGCTATGAGTGGAGTGTCCAGAAAAGCGCTATACAGAATAAGTGTAAAGATGTTTTTTACAGATCCGCTAAGCAAAAATACTGCCTTTTGTACTGCAAATTACAAATTGGGTTAACTGTTAATTTAAAACAAAATAGTAAGCAGTTGAAGATAACTGTAGAAATTTGAAAAATACTGCGTGAAAAAAAGAAGAATAATGGAAAGTACCTACAGCATTTGCAAAGCAGGGTATAATAATGATTATACAGTACAGGAAATTACCCTGAAGGTTTTACTTTATTGCTTTGTGCTAATAATAAATCCTAAATGCACTTTAGTGCCCCCACTATTAGCGATATTGACTGAATTTGTGTCATTCCAAAATATTTAATGAACAAGTGAATGGAAAATCAACTCAAATATAATTACCTAACTGTATTTGGTGCAGTATTTACACAATAGATATTTGATGTTGCAAAATGTCTGGTATTTTTTCAATGCAATGCTGTTTTGCTAGTAGTAGGCACATTGTAAGATTGCTTTTATGATTGAATTCCACATGCAATGTGATCTTCCTGTGTCGCATTCAGTATCCTGTCTGCGGTGCAGGAATGTTCCACACTAGTTTCCTTGTTAAGTTGGGGGTGACTTCTGTGTTCACCGTCTGTGCTGAAAAGAAACACAGGTTCTGAAACCTGGGTCAGGACATGTTCCTGTTCTCACATTTCAGTGCATGAATGTGACTATATTAGCTTTAAAATAACTGTTTAATGTGAAATGGAGATATAATACACATCAGTACAGAGTCAAATATCACCGAAATGAGGAATTACAGTTTTCATATGGTTTTCTACAAAACAGTAAATAAATAGCTAAGAGTGACAAGGTGCATGAATTCCCATTCACTGTGGTTGGGTTTAAAAGCTGTGTTTGGCTGCAGACCTAAATACAGTACCATTATATAATTAAGCGTTACTCTGTTTATCACACAGTGACATATGCCTAAGTGTTCATACCGTTTGTACCAGATCATGACATACGTATGACGTTTTCTGGTGAAAAATGAATAAAAATTATATATATATTTACAGAATATAGTCACACTAGTATTTAATTACACCTGGTGGTAAAAACACAGACTTGTAAGTACTTTGTAGTGAAAATAGGAATGCAGTTAGTTGTCAAAAACAATATTTTCTTAAATATTGTTAAGCCTGTCTGAATCCTGAGTGTAATTTAATTGAAATCTGTCAGGGTCAATATTAATCTTTTTGCTGTAACTTTTTCCAAAATAATGTGGATCCAGGATATGTACTGTAGCATTGTTGTATAATATCCCTTACATTTGACCCACAAATAGCTTTCAAAAGCCTTTAAGTAATTATCCTAAGTGATCTAATTGATCTGACAACAAATGTCAGCAGTGAATTGGAACAGATTGTATTCTGACGCTGTACATACAGTTCAAGAAACTGCGTTTATTCATGTTCAGAGCCTCCGACAGTAGGAGCTCTAACCCAAGCAAACCATCAGACTGGATCATTTTTCACCTGACTGTGACAAGAGTGAAACCTAGATGTGACATACAGTACCGTAAGAACGTTGCAAATAACAGGATGGCATTATGCCCATCTAGCTGGTCCTTGAAACAGGCCAGTGTATCGGCTCCAACAACAGGACTGGGTAGCTTGGTCCACACTCTTACAACCTTTCCTCGGTTTTAAAAGAGCTTCCACATACTGTAGTTTCCTCCTTTGGGTTTTGAATGATTGTATCGTGCCCCCTGGTAGCCATCCGTATTGAGGACTGAACAGGGTCAGTTCTTTCAGTCCGCAGGTGTGGGTCATCAGGTGATTCGGACTGCACTTCTCTGGATGGATTACAGAGCAGTCATATTTTTTTTAATTGTTCAGAATATTCTAGATGAGGTCTTGCAGGTTCATTAAACAATTTTAAAATAGTAAACCTAGATTTCAATTCTATGCTTTTGACTATACTGTATATCCTTTTTATCGCTTCCCCAAATGTTTTTTCGGCTCAACATTTCCATTTTTCTATTAGTAGCTTATGTTTGTTTTTTTTACCTGCATTGACCTCTACCCTGTACCTGTCCATCTTAACTGTAATTTCCAGGTGTTTATCCAGTGTTGAATGTCATCTGAATCCCTTTGAAGTTTATTTTCTGTGTCTGCAGTGTTTGCTAATCCTCATATCTGCAAACTTTGACTAGCTTATAGATACACCAGAATCTAGATCATTTACATAAATTAGGAAGAGCAGTGATCTTAGCTCAGATCCCAGCGGTACTCCACTATGCATATCACCCCAAACTGATCATTCACCCCTTGTCTGTGCTGCTTGTTTTCTATTTACTCACTGGTAAATCCCAATACACCACATCATATCCTCTTTGTTTGTTCCTTACTGTTGCTCATTTAAACGCGTTGGTTAAGCAAGACCTACCTTTCTAAATCCATGCTAACTATTCCCAAAGATCTCATTTCCGAACAGGTGAATAGATCATAATGTTTCCTTTACTTTTGTGTGTTGCAGATGTCAGAATTAGTGGTGTGTAAGAGACTAGAGTAACTGTTTTCCTGCACTCGGCATCATGCAGACAAAGATTAGCCGTGACTGCTGGCATTCGGTGTGTGACTTTAACCATGTTGTGTGTTGTGTGTTGTGTGTTTCTCTGTCTCCAGGAGGAGGAGAAGCTGGAGGAGGATGATGAGCTGATGTTTGAGGAAGATTTCGAACCTGACCTCGAACCTCATGATGAAGAACTCGAGGAAGATGAAGAGGAGGAGGAGGAGCAGGAAGAAAGCACCAAAATGAAAATACTGCGCCGAATCGCGGGTGTGGCATCAAAATTAAAAGAAATAATTGGCAATTTAATAACAACCGCTGGAAAAGTAGTTGTGACCATATTACTTGGTTTAACAGGTTAGTATCTTTAAATATGAAATATTAATTGAATTCATATCAAGATGTTATTGTTTCTAAAATCTATAAACACACCCATATGACATGTGATAGCTTTTTACTTTGATAAAAGTCAGAAGAAAACATAATGACATGTCGAGTAGTGTTACTCATTAAGTTCAGCACGTCTGTTTTTTGTATCTCTTTAGACATGCTGTTTTCTTTTGAAATAGATTATTTTTTATTTTTTACTGTATTATGTCAATGAATTTAATTCTAAATAAAGAACTAAATTAGAATATGTAGGAAAAATCCTGACTAAGCTTAATAGATGCAAATAATTTAAGCCTATGTGTGAGCCAGTTAAGATAATTGATTTTTTCTGTTTTGTAGTTATTTCATATTTCTAGATATTCGAGAATATACACATTTAATGTCTTAAATAAAAAAAACAGTTAATATTCACCTGAAGGTGTGAATTCTCTAAGGCAGCAGTTTCAAAGTAGCTTTCGATATAACCACTTGTATTCACATCTCAATACTAAAAAGCCAGATTGATCTGAATTGAATAAAAAATGATTTGAGGGGTTGGGTTGAAAACAACCCCCTGGATGTCTCACGATTATGAGCTAAACCAAACAGGGGTTTGCCCTTTTTTTGAGATTTCTAAAAGTATGTGCTGGTGAGCTTAAATGGTCCATGTGGCTTATAAGTACATTTGCCCACATTATTTAATACCTTTATAGTAACTACGAAGAGACAGACTGAGGTTTAGAACAATATTATTAGACATTCGGACAAATCCTGAGGTTTAATAGGATCTGCCTGAGTGGAACTGTGATCTGTTTTCTTCCAGGCATCATGCTGCCATCTCTAACTTCAGCCGTGTACTTCCTTGTGTTTCTGGGACTTTGTACCTGGTGGTCCCTGTGTCGAACGTTCGATCAGCTCGTCTTCAGCTGCCTCTGTGTGTTGATGGCCATATACAGTGCAGGGCACCTGCTTGTGCTTTATTTATACCAGTTTCAGTTCTTTCAGGAGCTTGTCCCACCTCACGACAACTACACGAGGTGAGTGAAGTATGCCGTCTCTCCTGCAAACATTCAGCCATTAGCTTTTAAGATAAGATCAGATCACTTTATTGGTCCTATACAATTTCTTGCATTAGGAATGTCTTTTAACATAGCCCAGCTTGCTCTCCATGAGTCACACAGACAGGGAGAGAAGCTGGGGGTCAGAGCGCAGGGTCAGCCACTTATATGGCACCCCTGGAGCAGTTGGGATTAAGGGCCTTGCTCAGGGGCCCAGCGGAGTAGGATTCCTCTGCGGGCCGCAGGATTCAAACCAACAACCTTCCAGCCACAGGCGCTGATCCTCAGCCACAGAGCCACTGCTCCGCTCAGCTCTTTATATAAGAACAGAGAAAATGACTAAGAAGCCGTGAGACTATAGACTTTTCCCGTGGATAATCCTTTGAAATAGGAGCTGCTTTTTTATCTTTCATCTTTCAGCTGTTCCTTTGTTGTTTATCAAGTTAATACTGTAACTACATATTTTAAAGGGAAATATCAACCTTATTAGTGGCTACTGTATATTCTAATGGTACTGTATAGTGTGCCATTTGGAACATGTGTGAGATAAATAATTTCATATGACAATGATTATAGTTTAATTTTTTTGCTATTCGTCCTAGAATTTTGTGATCATTTTTTATCTCATACACTATATCGGGTTCAATATTATTAGAAAGTCAAAAACCAGTGGCAAATACATTTTGACAAATCAGCTCATATGTTTTTGGTAGTTCTGTTTCTTTTAATAAATAAATCAATAAATCTTAGACTATTAACATTAGCTTAGCTCTTAAGATAGATCTTCAAAAAGCTTGAGTGCTTAGTATATACTGACAAACCAGTATATAACCTTCAAAAACTCCTATGCCCTAGAGTCCTATGTTTTGTACTTGGCTATTAAAATACTTACTTTCTTGTTTTCTGCCTGTAACTTTCATCAGAATGATGTAACTGTCTATGTGTCAGATAATCTTAAAGTGAAGTTGCTCTTAAATGGACTTTTTGGCCTAAAAGAAAAAGCTGCAAAATTAAAAGATGTAGTATTGTATTAAACATTAACAATACAATATAATAGTTGGAATTTTTTCAGATGGGATTTTGATAATCAACACAATGCATATTTGCAAATGACTCACTAAAAATAAAAATTATATGATGTACTGTATTAAATGGACCTTCCTTTCCTTTTTTTTACCATGCTGTATTTGTGTACAGTACTGTAGGTATTGTATAATTAAACATTTCGGCTGAGGACAAAAAGGAATTAGGCTTAAGATCTGCTAAGCATCACTAACATTACAGTGTCCCTGCAAACCCATGTGAGGGTGTTCCCCCCATGTCCAGGCACTAAGGCACTGAACCCTGACCATCTGTGTGTGTAAACTTGGCAAAATTGACTAATTTGCTTGAGGGGAATCTTCTTAGCTGATGGGATCAAATGAAGAATAAGGTAACCCCAAAGCGGTCCATCCACAATATCAGTCCACTGCTTTGTATAAATGTGAATTAAATATGTATTATATCGCAGCATTTGTATGAGGAGAAATTCATTTTATTGGATTCGTATACACGTGATTCAAAGAAGAGAAATGGTACTTGGTTACTGAAGAGAATAGATGGTAAAACCAAAGGTTAGGATTTCCAAGAAATCTCCATGGACTCCTGCCAATGACTGGTGTGTCTAAGTTTAGAGGGTACACACTGTAAAACATCTGTGTTGTCTGGTATTCTGAAAACTACACAGAGCAATATGTTTGACATCTGCATAGAGTAGCACATTATGTTGTATTTGATCAGTATAGAACCCCGCTGAGCTGAAAAATGTCTTCACTCTTGAAGTCCATTTCAGACACAATGTGTCGTAGAAATTCTACAGAAAGCAGAAATAATTATACTCTGTATTTTGAAGATTTAGATTTTTTCTTAATTTTTGAAACAACCTACACACTTCAGCAATAATTAAAATCTGCAAAAAGTGGGATCTCATAAAAAACAGGGTAACGAGGGTTGATTAAATAAGATTAAAGAGGGTTAATTATGTTTTGAACAGAATTCAAAGCATCTGTGACCAGGCTGTCAGTTTTCTCTAAAACCACATGAAGTCTAGCTGTACTTTTCTCCTACTGTACATATTAATGCAAGCAAAGGTATACTTTCCATCCGTTTTAGGAGCTGTGCAGGAATTGTCTCTCATGAATACTGTACACATGCTGCTAGATTTAATAAAACTGAAATTATGTCGTCATTTTGATTTAATTAAAATTAAAAGCTTTGAAATACCGTAACTTAAAATTAAATTAAAAGGGGCTAAGGGTAGAAGAACAACAAAATTGGTAAAAATGCAGAAACTGTGGTGTTTACAGAATGGGTTCTGTGTTGTGATAAAGAAGAGCTACGGTATATACTTTACAGAATAGTATTAATGTAAATAGAAGCTGTGGGTGGTGTTTCACTTCTCTGACTGATTTTTAGCCTAAGTAGGAAATGGCTCAGTACTTGGGAAGTCATGCTTAATGTATTGCACAGACATACAGTACTGTAGCCTATGAATGGGAAATGTCGATATCAATTAGTCACTTAGCAGGAGCTTTCGCCTGAAGCACATTTCCAGAGACTGGATGGTGAACGAAGACACTGGCGCTGAGGTTCCACCATGTCCCACAGAACCAGAGGAGAGGCCTGGTCTGAAACCCAGCACCTACAGTAGCTTCAGGGATACAGTATATTGATGGGGACGTGTGTTCCGGGGACCCCTGTTTAGAGCAAGCAAAAAAGTTTCTGAGTCTTTTTCCGAGTCTGTTTGTCATTCTGTTTTAATTTTTGCTGGGGTCATCGTTGCCTTAACGACATTCAGTGATTCTGCACTCGTTGGATGAATATTTTCTGAGAGTCCAGAAAATAGTACATTTTCTAAGTCCGTTAACGACTCTGAAAGCTGAAAGAAGCTGGTGGTAAGTCATTGTGTGGCTCCCCGCAGAGACTGTGTAATTAATTGGCCAAACGTTTGCAAAGATGGCCTCACCGTTCTGTTTCTGGTGTTTCTTGCACATAAGGGCTCTCGTTTGCTGTCTCTGTCCAATAATGAGTGCCAGGCTGCAGGCCTGTGCTGTAGTCAGCTGTGCTTCAGCACACAGACCTTCCTGGCACTAACTACACAGCCAAAGCCTAGTAGATGGCTCAAGTGTCATTGTTACTATTTACACAGACCTGAGGAGAGCGGCACCATGCTCTATGCAAACGCTTTGCGACACATTTTATTAGCAAAGTTCTAGATCATTTTACCACAATGCCGTCTTTTAGCAGGAGTCCTCAAGGAGTTTCATTTTATACCTGAACCGGGGGGGGGTGGTGAGTGTGCTGTGAGTGAAAGTGGTATGAGCAGCTTCACAGACCCAGGTGGTTCTCATTAATGTTAATAATCTTTGGCTTGCACAGAAGTTGCACAGCTGTGTCAGGAAACTGTTCATACTGCGGACGAAAAATGTGTCTACAAAACTCGGTGCACACTTAGAATATAGAGTGTACCAGATTGAAGTGCCATGAAGTAGAAGCAAGGTAGACACAATTGATCTTAATGGAGAAACCAGTTGCAAAGTCTCCTATGCACTGAAGCACTCTCATTGTCAAAACATAGACTATGGTATTGTCGTTGTCTGGGCGATATTTCAACAGTGGTAGTCGCAGAGTTATATTGAAAAGCAAGGAGTCAAGTGCAGGACCTTATCATAATTGTTTTAACTTTTTGTGATTTCATAAATTAAAATACATGACAAAAGGCTAAAACGCCGATGAATAACAACACATGGTGTTCAGAAGCCACCGTGCTTGTTCATCGGTTCAGAAGGCAGAGATTTTTGAGTCGTATTTCCTAGGCTTTGTAGTTTAAATTTATTTTATTTCGTGATCGATTCTTACTTCACTGTCATATCCCTGGCATTTTACAGGTTGGTCAAATCTTTAAGGAATAAACTCTCACAGTATATTATTCAAGATTGATTCTTGCATGGAAATGCAAAAACCAGAGGCACTCTCTTCCCAAAGGGTTTCGTCCAAACAAGCAGAACACTAACATAGTATGGGACTGGCCACCGAGTCATATTGTGGAAGCCAGTCCTCTGGTTTTATTCAAAAACCAGCTGGATGAGATGCCTGGAACAATTAAGCTAGATGGGCCAACTTGCCTCCTCCTCCTCCATTTTTATGTTCTTATTTCCAACATTTTGTCTACTTCAGCCCCGGGACATTGTAATGTTACACATCTCGGAAAAGTCCCCTGACCTGACTTGGCCATTGCCTTTCAGGAATTTGAAAACTCAAAAGTGCACCAACTTCATCTTTCCTGTTCTCACAATGGGTAAGAAGACAAATGGCTTCTCTCCTGCCTCTGTTTAGGGAAATGAGACCTTTAATCAGATGGTATTTATTGTAAATTAACTTTACAACATTATGGACTCAAAACAAAGTTCAAAATTCATATGCACTCTCCTAGGGCCAGTTGTACTAGAGGAATCTGATCCTCTTTCTTGATCCCTTTAGTAGGCCAACTGCCTGACTGTAATCAAGGTGGTTTTTAAATAATAGGCTTAAATTATTTAAGTCATTATCAATTACAGTACAGTATTTACGGATGAACATCCAGAGCTTTATCTGTCTATCAGACCATCACAACAAGCCTAAAGTCTGCAGTCTGTAATGCTGGCTTGCTTACTTAGGTTTCAACAGACGGAACACAATAACCCTGGAAAATGTGCTGTCCTTGACTTTTCAAGATCCCATTGATTTTAAAAGACTTTCTAATTTAGGTACCTTCACAAGGCTGCTCAGCCCACATGATGCTATTATGTCTATTTATACTCATACTGCAGTTACTTTCCTCTTTTACGCTATCAAGAATTGAATGGCATCCAAACCAGCAGAAAATATCGACATTCTCCATTAACCTTTGATTCTCTATGGAAAAAACAATAGGACCTCTCTATATAATATATATTTAACAT